CTGACGGCGTGAGGGAAGAGGGGGGTGGCTGGTCCTGTCCAAACGGCACGGGCAGAAGCAGTGAGCTGGGCCCGGTGTTGCAAAAGTCTGAGAGGGTTCTGAGAGCATCGGTGCAGGGACGCTGCCAGGCACAAGCACCCCGGTCCCCACAGAAAGCCACAACCACTCCTCAGGCAGTGCTGCCTCCCCTTCATGGTGAGCCACGGCACTCTCTGCCATATGACAGCGATGAGCCATGTGATGATATAAGGAGATATTCAACAAGAGGAAGCTTGCGTTGTCAAAGAGAAAAAACCAAGAAGTACCAGCTTACACCAGTGGTGGTCTTGGACCCTCAAGAAGTGCCACTGTGGCTGACAAGCATGAAACTCAACAGAAAGACAGATATTCAACCTGCCTACCAGCAGCCAGTATCTCCTTTGGACCTTCAAGGAACCTTGGAGAATAATCATAAAAGTACCAAAGTTGTTTCTGGAGAGGGAAGTACCTGTAGAAAAGCTTGCATCAGTGGCTTCAGTGCCAGCCGGTGGGGGAGGCAAACGAGGCTCCGTCCAAAAAGGTACAAAACCAAGAGCCAGCAGCTGCCTAATAACTCATTTTTCAGACCACGAATGAGGCAAAAAGGAATAAAGAAGGGTGTTCTGGAGATGTCTGTAGATATAACAGACAATGACTGTTCATTCCTCAATAGCTCCCATTCCTGGGGTAGAGTTCGAGCATCTTTGTCCTTCCATAAGAAGAAGAAAGTTACCACAGAAAAGAGTTCCTGCAACAGCATCCTTTGTACCCCTTCTGTGAAATCCCAGCTTTCAGGGTACCGAGCAACCCTATCTACTAGTCAGGCTCAGTGCTGCACTTGGTCCACTTCCTCTATGGTCCTGCTGGCTCCCAGGATTTCCTGTTCTGTCCTGGAGCTAATGCTTACAGATGCAGAGAAGGTGTTTGGGGAGTGCTATCAGGAGGGGCCTATCGCTTTTGAGGAATGCATTCCTTTAGAGAAGATGAAAGATTGCAAGAAAATTGGAGAAGGGGTATTCGGAGAGGTCTTCCAGATCCACAGTGAGCAAGGACCTGTGGCCTTAAAAATAATTCCCATTGAGGGGACTGAAAGAGTAAATGGTGAAGCTCAAAAGACCTTTGGAGAGATTCTGCCTGAGATAATAATTTCAAAAGAACTGAGTCTTCTGTCTGAAGAGTCCGTGAATAGGACTGTTGGGTTCATCAGCTTGTACTCTGTGCACTGTGTTCAAGGGGCCTATCCTAAGCATCTCCTGGAAGCCTGGGACAAATACCACAAAATAACAGGATCAGAAAATGATCGGCCAGACTTTTTTGGGGATGAGCAGCTCTTCATGGTTCTGGAGTTTGAATTTGGAGGCAGTGACTTGGAGAATATGAGAAACAGGTTAAGCTCAGTGGGAACAGCAAAAAGCATTTTGCACCAGGTCACTGCTTCCCTGGCAGTGGCAGAACAGGAACTGCACTTCGAGCACAGAGACTTGCACTGGGGGAATGTGCTGGTAAAGAAAACAGATGTAAAGGAGCTTAATTATGTGTTGAATGGGGCAACACACACGATCCCCACAGCAGGGATTCACGTCAACATCATAGATTATACTTTGTCTCGGCTGGAGAAGGACGGGTTAACTGTGTTTTGTGACCTTTCCACTGATGAAGAACTGTTTCAAGGCACAGGGGACTACCAGTTTGATATCTACAGGCAAATGAAAGCAGAGAACTCCAACAGCTGGACTGACTATCATCCACGCAGCAACGTCCACTGGCTGCACTACTTGTCAGATAAACTTTTGAAAGACATGCGCTACAAGAAAAAGAAATCAACTTCTGCCATGAGGAAAATAAAGCAGCAGCTCATTAAGTTCCACAAAGAAGTACTGACCTTTGAGTCTGCCAATGAAGTTTTACAAAACAGCAGCCTCTTCCAGTGAGCAAGGGAGTGCAATGTTTCCAAGAACTAAGTCACTGATACTGCCTTTCTCCTTTGCTGTTTTTTATGTATGACCTTTTTAAATGTTGGCACAATGCCTGGCACAGTGAAGAAGTGTTATGATCGGTTACCAAGGTGTATAATACACTATAAAAAAATGTCAGTTCTCCCCCCGAAAAAGGTCTTTTGCTTTAAGATGTTTCCATAGGTACTTCTTCTGAGGAGTGATAAGGGGAGAGTTGACACTTGAGAAGGGGGGGTGGGGTGTGGGGGTGTGAGGGAGGGAGACTCCTGTAGGGTCAATTAATGTTTTGAATGCCACAGAAGTTTTCTTACCGTTTTAGTCTTAGATTATTAAAAGTTCTTTCCTTATTATATTGTCTTTCTTACAAATTCTTTTTTTTTTTTTTTAACAAAAATAAAATTCTGGACAGCAAGGACAAAGGTAAGTATTCTTAGACCTCTTGGGGACAGAGAGGGAAAAACCCCACCTTTTAACTTAATTTTAAAGATGGACTTTTGTTCAGTTTTACAAAATTTGTACCTGGAATGATGCTACAAAATATTAATATGTAAAGTTTCTGTAGTGTAGGTTTTAAAAACAGTCTAATCTGCAATAATATGATTTTTTTTTCCTTCTGTTAGGACCAGTGAAGAGGTATTGGATTAGGAAAAAAAAAAATGAGAAAAAGTACCTGTGTTCCTGATGCATTTTTGACTGTCATTATATTGTGACCTTGTACACTGATAGGAAACCAAATCTGTAACTTGATGGTAGTGTTAAATGGATTTTCTCCATTTATCTGCAGAAGAAAATGCACAAGATAATAAGTGTTCTTTAGTCCTGACTGCAGATAGATCAGATAACCTAAGTTTGAAGCTATACTTACATTAAATTTGAATTTTTTGTTTTCAAGAAGTCCTTCACTAATGTTCATGCACATGAAAGAAACTGGTCTAAAGAGAATAATAAATCAAACTAAGTGAAAAGTGAGTTAGATTATTATTATTATTAAAAAATAGTACATCCAACAACCCAGATGCATTATGTAATTAAGAGGTAGCATCATCAGATTTCTTAGAACTGGAATGTCTATGCAGTCTGTCTATACATCTGTGTATAGTGTTCTGTCTTCCAGACCCTTTACTTTTGCTGTCTATTACCACAGAGTGGTTTGACAACCTGCTGTGCTTGAAATTATTAAGATAGAAATTGTATTGGAATCTTACTAGGCATCCTCTCAATCTTTTTTCCTCTAATTGACTAAAGTAATGCAATATAATTGAATATTCTTAAAACTTAATTGGTAAGGATGGCTGTGAATACATATCTGACATCAAGGATCTTCAGTCAGAATGGTGCTATTTTCATTTATGCTTTTTAAAAAAAAAGGCATGATGGATGAAACATTATCTGCTTGCCTTGGTCTTTTATTTCTATGGTTTGAGAACTGCTAAATTGGCTGTACAAGAGGGATGGAAACAGTGGCAGTAATTAATGAAGGAAGAGGTGCCAGCCCACTTGGTGACATGGTACAGTAGTGTTGGAGTAGCTTTCTATTACTGCAGATTTTGAAAGCTGCCATTGCCTTGAAATGTTTCCCCATAAACCAATGCTAATTTGTGAATATGTAGTATTGCTTTTAGTAATCAAAATTTAAAGCTTCTACCCTCACAAAACTGGACATGAAATTCATATAGAAACCCTTCCCTTAAACTGTGCTTGCAGTCAAGTGTAGCTGCTAGAGCTACGCTTTAAAGATGCTCTCTGTTTAGAAAATGCTGTGTACTAGTCAGTCCCCATAATTTTAATGGGGGGAATGTGACAAGAAAGGAACCTGAACAATACCTTTCCCACATTAGACAGCCCCTAATCGAGAAAAACACCCTGAACGTAAGTTCTCATCCCAATCATTTGGAAAGAAAGCTTTACTTGGAACAGAACTGGATTAGATATTTTATTCATCTGTTCTCTCTGCTAAGGAAGGAGGGTGTCAGAACCTACTTTGCCATTTCAGAAACAAGCTTTTAAATACATGCTACGCTTTAATTAGGACCTTAGAGGGTGCTCTACCTTTTACCGAAATAAAGTATGAGGAAAGCTAGAATTATCATAGGGGAAGGAAAGATTTTTCACATGGAAACAAATGCTTTAAAAGGTTGAAGAGGACAAATATACTTTTGTGTAACCAGTGACTGAAAAATAGTGTGGACACCAAGTAAGGATTCTGGTATTTCCTTTCTAGTTCACAGGGTATTTTGTGGTGAAAATAGCAACACTCGGTGATATTAACGGTGATTGCAGGCTTATTTTGGAACAGGCTTTCATCCAATTGCCAAATCACTGAAAATTTTGCCTATTTTGAGGGAAGAGAAAGACATAACAAAATATTGATTACCCTGTAAATACTTTTTAACTCACCAGGGTACTGTTAAAACATGATGACTAATGTATGTTCTGCTCATCATTCCCTTCTGGAGAAACTAGACATTAAGTAAAGTGCAGGAATATGAAAGTTGTCTCCTGCCTTCAGAAAATGCACACTAGCCATATGCTGAATTCGAAGGACTAGAGGCTCAGGCCTAGTTGCAGAGAGGGAGAGGATGATACTTTGAGCTACTCGAAATATCATTTAGAGGTAGGGAAAAGCGAAAATAATGATGTCTACTTACAGTTGTCATCTTGAGTACTGGATCCCCATTTCTGCGGTTACAGGATGAGACTAAAGAAGTTAATGGTATGGGTTGGCCACAGTGAATAGCAGGAGAGGACAGCTGCCAACAGAGTAAGAATGCTCTTTAATGTTGAATAAAAACAGACTGGGAAATTCAACTCAGTCTGTATCTGCTCCCATAAAACAAATTAGGTACAAATAGCCCCATAAAAGCTTGGGAGTCTTAAATCAGATAAATCCAGTATTCAAGCTCTAGTCCTAGCAACTGAAATGTTCTTTCCTTTCCCTGGACCTTATGTCAAGATTTACTAGGTAGTAAATGAAAAGCAGTCTGCTCTGGGTTTTCTTGCAGCAGTGGGCTGCTAGCTGAAGAGTGGTTCTACGATCTTACCTCAAGTCACCTTCTTAAAATGAAGGTTTTTAGAGTAGTTCAAGACCACAGTTGCAATGTGCGAGTCATCTCTGCTGTTTGTTAGTGAAACATTCATGGTCACTTCTTTAGTGTGTCTTCCTTTCTAGAAGCAGACAGAAAAATGAGATGGGTGACCTGTAATTCCCAAGGGTTGTTATTTAAATAAGAGGCCTGAAACATTCTAGTAATTGCTCCCTCCAAATGCTTTCACACACAGGATAATGCAATAGGCCAATTAAATACGCAATATTCTGCAGGGTGTGTAGGAAAAACACTTCCTTCTTAGTATCAAAGGCAGTCATCTCCAGACTTTATATAATATTTTATCATTTCTGTTTTACATCGAGATAGACTTTAAACACTGTTCCACTTGATTAGCTTTTCAGTGAATCTCCAGGGTACATTTTTACAATAAAGTGATGCCTACTGTTTTGTCTAAGGCTGTGTAAACTGAGCAACTCTTTGCTGTAGTGCTATGCTGTGCATCAACCTAAAACAAAATCACATATTCACAACTACATGCCAGAATTGTGATTTTAGGATGACTATAGTTGTTTAAACCTTGGTCTTTCCTCAGATTTCCTGGAGCAGCCCAGTAACGCCCATGGAGGCATATAGTTACAGCATGGTATGAATATGATGTTACGGAAAGGATGAATTGGATAGAAAGTAAACAAAGGGATAGCAAATCTTGCCTGAAAATTTGAAGACAACATCCTCTGTACAAAGATGACATTTTATATGAATGCTGAATGTGAAATCTGGATAATACTATGACTCACCGAGCCTGACTTGTCAAAGTTAAATGAGTCGTACAGATGGTCTTGTTGTTGCAGTCCTTCTTGTAAGGCAACTGAAAGCAAACACAGATCAAGTCAAATTCTAACAGTCCTAATTTTTCTAAGAGTCTGAAAACCAAAATTCCCATAACCTCAATTAAGGAGAAGTTGGAAATAAAAGACCCTCTAGTGATAAGTCGGTTCTAAATTGATGATATTCTGTAATTCAGCACCCAGGAGAAGATCTATTAGCCATAACATGAAAATTCTTCACTGGGGACAAGGTCTTGTTAAAGAAATGCCAGTTGTTTACCCTGGATTGCCACAGGGCAATAATAATACCTTTTCCAGATACATGTTTTTCTTGAATAAAAATGTTCATATGCTGTGCCAGCTTACAGGCACACTGTTTTGTAGAGATGAGGTTACTTCCTTTAGCAATTTATTGACCAATAAAAAAAACCTACTGTCTGTGGCTGATGTTTCTGGAGAAGTTCAATGACAATTAATAATTAGATGTTGGGCGCACAAGTACTAAGCAATGCTGACCAACACTCAAGAATCTCATGAATTATTCTTAGGAAATAAGTGTACCATCAACATCATCATCCCTAAGAGTACTGCGACTATAGTAATTAGTGTTCATTAGCTCAGTGCTACATGTTTTCCTATGCTCTATGGGCAGCTAATTAAATATTGAATTGTGGTAAAGACTCCTATTAAGTAGCAAAAAGCTGCCTTTTTACAGAACTTTGTGGAATTTTTTCAGCAGCTGTGATTTGGATTTCAGACTAACTGTGAAAGAGCTAGATTAGCTGTAGGAATCCTGCTAAACTGCAAGAGAGGAGGCAGAATATTTAATAAAGTTAAAGGCAGAAGTTTAATAAAGTTAAACTTCACCTCTAACTTTTATTAGAAGTTTGCAGCCTCCCAAATAATCAATTTGAAACAAACAAGTAAAATAAAAAAACCCAAACATAATTTTCATTATTTTTAAAATTACTTCATTAGAAAATTGTGTAGCTGTCACTATGAAATACACCGTAAGTCTTAACATAAGTTCCAATGTAGAGCCCAATACCTGAAAAGTACTTCCCAAAACACAAACCATCAGCCTTCTTCACAGCTGGAACCT